TAAGGTAGGCTCCCACTACATTACCTTACTGATGAGTCCAGTAGTGGAAGCCGGGACGAAACGCCAACTTGTTATATTCTTCGCAATCTTATTTTTCACGGAATTTGATTTATTATTAATTTAATTTACATTAAATTAATAATAAAAATCGTTAAATTTTAATATATGTCTTTCAACATAGTATTAAGATCCATAAGATGCTATAGGCATCAAATTGTTAAATTGCTTGTTAATTTAACTTAGTGATATTACTGCGGTAGTGAATATGTATGCGTCAATGCTGAAAATCTATCAGCGTCGCGGGGGGGACTACATACGCAGTATATAAAATTTCACACAATTATTATAAGCACGTTGATCTAGCTTCGACCGTTATAGGCTTCTTCTTCTAGTTTATTATAATAATAAAAACAATTTTTCTTTTTTCTTTTTCCAGATGCCTCCACTATTTTAGCTCAAGCTCTAAATTGGAGGTTCACAGTGAGGATTGCGGAAAATTAAATGATTATGCGATAAGGCTACCGAGCGAGGACGACAAATGGCTCGAGTTCAAGAAACATTGCAGGAAGGAGTGCGTCCCGTTCATAGTATACGCCGATTTGGAGTGTGCATTGGAGAAGATGGATAAGGATCCGGCATCATCCACGTATACATACCAACATCACAACGTCTTCAGTATCGGGTATTACGTGTACTGCTCTTATGACGATTCACTATCAGGCTATCGTTTTCGCCGCGATAAAGACTGTATATCATGGTTCGCGGATGAATTAAAAAATTTAGCACATAGTATATAGTCAATAATTTTGGCTAACGTCCCTATGACAGATTTCACGCGAGACGACTGTGAAAAATTTAATAGCGCCACGCACTGCCACGTATGCGAGAAACCGTTCGCGAAAGATGATAAGCGGGCACGCGATCACTGTCACCTTACCGGGCGATATAGAGGTCCAGCGCATTCAAATTGTAATTTAAATTATAAGGATTCGCGATGCATACCCGTAGTCTTTCACAATTTATCAGGCTACAATACGCATTTTATCATCAAAGAAATTGCAACCGCGTACGAAGGACGTGTAGATTTATTACCAATAACTAAAGAAAAATATATTTCATTCACTAAACACGTTGATGATACTATCGATGATAAAAAAAATTGTATACAATTACGTTTTATAGATTCATACAAATTTCTCGCCTCAAGTTTAGATAAATTATCATTTTTTCTTAGCAAAGATAAGCTGCGGGTACTGCGACGCGAATTTTCTCATTTATCGGACGAAAATTTTAATCTTTTAACTCGAAAAGGTGTCTTTCCGTACGAGTACATTGATTGCAGTGAAAAGTTGAATGAATCATCCTTGCCGCCTCGCGAGTCGTTTTACAGTTCATTGACAGACGACACGGTAACCGAGAGCGATTACGCGTACGCCGTCAAAGTGTGGCAGCGTTTCTCCATCCAAACGCTCGGTGAATACAGCGATCTGTATCTAAAAACGGATGTATTGTTGTTAGCCGATGTCTTTGAAAATTTTCGCGACAGTTGCGTAACGAGTTACGGGCTCGACCTCGCCTACTATTACACCTTACCCGGCTTCACATGGGATGCCATGTTGAAGCATACAGGTGTAAAATTCGAATTGCTTACAGACATTGACATGGTCATGTTTGTCGAGCGCGGTATACGCGGTAGTCTAAGTCAGTGCTCAAACAGGTACGCGCGAGCCAACAACAAATACATACCGTCGTACGATTTATCGAAACCATCATCGTATTTGATGTACTATGACGTCAACAACCTCTATGGCTGGGCAATGTGTCAACCATTGCCATACGCCGACTTTCGATGGGTCGACGACGTGCAAAACTTCGACTTTTCAACCATCGCGCTAGATTCACCGACGGGTTATATTCTCGAGGTGGACTTGGAGTACCCTCAACATCTCCATGATACTCACACAGACCTACCGTTCTGTCCAACGCGAGAGAAACCACCCGGCAAGCGCGATGACAAGCTCCTCGCGACGTTATGCGATAAGCAGCGTTATGTGATTCATTATCGCAATCTGCAGCAGTGTACTCGTCACGGCCTCCGTATCGCAAACATTCACCGTATATTGCAATTCACGCAATTTCCATGGCTTCGCGATTACATAGAATTAAACACAAAATTTAGAACTTTGGATATTATATAATTTTTTACAATGTCGACACACAAAAATTTTAATTTAATTTTATTACCGTTGGATTTTCCTGGTGAATCATATAGAAAATTTGACATAATTTGTAACACCTATAAAGAAAAAAATTTTTTATTACCATCTCTTAGATTTATGATTGTACATCGACTTTCTAATCATGTATATCATGACGTCAGTTTTTTCTGATGAAGACTCACGGAAGTGGATTAAGACTGTACAAGCGTATCTCTGCGATCTCTGCGAGTGATTTTGTCCATGATTGTTTATCGTCTGAGGAGGGCTCAATCCTGGAGCCGAAACTAGTAGCGCTAAGTTGATTTATATTAATTTTAAGTTAATTTAAGTAGTTCTTCATAGTAATATTTTTATTTTTACGGTTTTTATAATTAAATTTTATTTTATTTTATTACTTGGATTTTTAACATTATATTAAATGAATTTATATTTTGACTCTTACATCGCCCTTGTTATTTATTTATTATTAGAACTTTGGCAAAGAATGATTTTGAGAAAAATTTATATAAACTTATGAATAACGCGGTATTTGGCAAAACCATGGAGAATGTGCGCGATCGCGTTGATATAAAATTGTTAACCAAATGGGAAGGCAGATACGGTGCTAAGGCAATGATCGCGAAACCCAACTTTCACAGTCGTAGCGTTTTCTCGGAGAATCTGGTCGCGATAGAACTGCGTAAGCTCGAGGTGAAGTTCGACAAACCAATATACGTGGGTATGTTCATCCTCGATATATCGAAAACGTGTTTGTATGAATTTCACCACGAATATATGGCACCGCTGTTTCGCGAAAAATGCAAAATTATGTATACCGATACTGATAGTCTCATATATCATGTAGAATGTGACGATGTATATGAAATTATAAAACGTGATATCGATAGATTTGATACTAGCAATTACTCTGTTGACAATCAATATCGTATTCCGCTCGCGAATAAAAAAGTTCCTGGTCTTATGAAAGACGATAACAACGGTGCCATCATGACTGAATTCATCGGGCTTAGAGCGAAAATGTACGCTTTACGTGTGCAAGGACAGAAGGATACGAAAAAGGCAAAGGGTGTCAAAAGTAATGTTGTGGCAAGATCCATAACTTTTGATGATTACACGCGATGCTTAAACGATGCTATTGAAATGACGCGCAGACAATCGTGCATCAGATCGAAATTGCATGAGGTGTATACGATGTCGGAAATGTAAGGGCACGTCAGGAAAGGTGAGCTAAAGGATAGGGGCTAGAGGCAGTAAACGAGGCTTCTTGAATAAACGCACTTTATTACGTCTGTTATCTTTAATCATGTAGGAACGACTGCCGCGTACTCGCGCGTACTCGCGCGTCGTCCTGATCGTGTCTGCGCACTGCGCACGTACAATAGTAACCGATCAAGATATCGAAGAAGGTGGCGCTCGCTTGCAGCGCCACGGCACTCATAGAAACATAAACTAGCTATAATTCAATGGAGACCAGAGATTTCTTACAACTCGGCCATTCTGCAAAACGCATTCGACCCGAATGGTTCTCAAAAGAAACATACCATAGTATTACATAAAACTAAAATTAACTATGTAATATAATTAGCTTACACGCTAGGAATAACATTTATATTGATTGAATAGTTAAAAGTAATATAATATAATATAACAAAATAAGAAAAGTTAAATGAATATTTCTCGATACAATAGAGAAGTTAAGGCACCACTGGTTTTATCCATCGTTTAATCCTATCAGAGGATAAAATAGTATTGTAAGGCCTAGGAGCCAAGTTGAAACCAGGGATGTCTTTTATTACATAACGATTACAGCCTAGAATTTTGTCGATCATGTCCCAGACAGCACACGATGGATATCCATAGTACATCCTTTATGGATATTGAGGATATCCGTGGGACATCCGTTTTACATCCTTCGGATATTCAGTGGACGTCCATAGGACATCAGTTTGCGACGTTGGTGGACATACTAAAAACGTCCCTGACATGTCCGGTGGACGTCCGATGGATATCCGATAACCGTTTTTGATGGACGTGTAAAGGAGCATCCAAATTTGCAATAATATACAGGATAATTTAGTAAATTCAAAAAAGATAAAAAATATATTTTGAATAATCTTTATTAATTCAGTACAGCTTTTTCTGTACAGCTATTTTATTTTTCTTGACGGGTGTGCTAAATCCCTAACTTTTCCTGACTTCACTGACTTCCCTAACTTGTAGCAACCCTGATATACAATATATTAGTCTATATGGATGAGAACAATTATATATATATAAGAACAATTATAATGCTAGAAACAAGAACAATTTTATATAATGCTTGAAATATATGAACATTAAATTAATATGTAGTTATACGTACAATAATCAATTGTTCATATTTCGAGTATTACCTGACACACTTTGGTCACCGTGCAACGTGAGGGCAAGATTCAGTTCTGTACATAGACAAAGTATACTGTCTCGTTTCATTCTCGTTGCGTTTTATAACCTCGCACAAACTCAGTCTTTTAAAAGTAATTAACATCTTATTGCTAATTCGCCATATATATACTTTTTTTCTTAAATGAGTATATCGTACCATACGTATTATAAGCACGGTTTTCTATCAAAATAAATTAAAGTCTTAAAAGGGGATCCTAAAAAGCAATGGGAATGACCAACAATTACACAGTGAACCATATTTTTACAAGAACAATTATAATGCTAGAAACAAGAACAATTATATAATGCTCGAAATATATGAACATTAAATTAATGTAGTTATACAATCAATTGTTGATATTTCGAGCATTACCTGACACACTCTGGTCACCATGCAACGTGAGGGCAAGATTCAGTTCTGTACATAGACAAAGTATACTGTCTCGTTTCATTCTCGTTGCGTTTTATAACCTCGCACAAACTCAGTCATTTAAAAGTGATTAACATCTTATTGCTAACTCGATCCATATACTGTTTTTCTTTAATATTAAGTAAATACGTATATATTATAAGCCGCGATTTTATATCAAACTAAATTAAAGTCTTAAGGGAATCCTAAAGCAATGGGAATGACCATCAATTACAATGAACCATTTTCTCCGAATTGGCGCTTTATAGATGATGAAATTTTTTTACACAATGAAAGTACACACCAAAACTGTATTATTGACCTCGATCAAATTCGGCCGTCGCTTTAGGATCCCCTTAATAATGTTCGTGACAAGTGTGACAAAAACGTAGAAACGTAGGCTACTTTACCTTTTAGGAGACACAAATTGACAGAGTATAACACACTCAAACACAGTTTGCCACACTTAAATGGAACGAAATATGTGAAGTGTGCATTTCGTGTACGAACTTTTAATACCTAACCATAAGATTTGAATTTTGATCTTAAAGACGTTCACCGGCTAATCGATTTCTATACAAAATGCTTTAAATTTAAACTACATATTATTAATATCATTATCGATATATCCTCGAAATTTCAGAAAATTTAGCGGTACCGAATTCGAGTTATTATTATAATTTTCAAAGTTGAAGCTTTTAACATGTAAGATATAGCCCAAGCATACGTAAGATATGCGCTCAAGTGACATTTCAATTCATAGCGACTGTAATATCTATACGATTGTTCTAAAAAAAAATAGGATATGATGCAAGACGATGCTAGAAATAATATAAAAAAAAAACGAGGATCTTTAGCTATGCTGTTGTTGAGTTATCAAAGTTCGAAGTGGTGTATCCGACAGCACTTCGAAGTAAGTCATCGCATGGAAGAAGAGCCGCGTTACTGAGACGGGTCTCCGCTTTTCTCAACACAGCACAGGCTAGTGTGCGTGTATACATACAAGACATCAAACCCCGTTTGCTTGTGCGTGAGTACACTCAACAGAAAAAGTATTGGCATGCATGGGAAGCGGAGTGGGGAGGGACATGTGCTATGCACCGAGAAGCGAGCGAGCAGTAAACTTTTGGCTACAAATAATCGTACAAAGCCGGTGAACGTCCTTAACGGACGCATAAGATTCGATTATTGCAAGGAGTAATTGGAGTGATGTGATAGTGCGTTCTAATATCACTTAATTCATCAAAATCACACTTGAACAGACTTGAAACACACTCTGACTCTCCTCCCAAGCAGAGGCGAAGTGCGTCGATTGAGTTTGAACAAAATTGTAAATGGAAAGCGACGTGTGTCGATTTGTGTCAAGTGTGTTGACTGTGTCTCCTAAAAGGAAAGCAGCCGTAGTAACAAACGTAGTAATAATATTTTGTTTGATTAGAGCTAAAATGCAATTATATTAATAATGAGTCCACTAATTAGAAATATAGGAAATTATTCGAACGACCCCGGTGTCTTTGCAAAGACGTTTGTTTTCCTGACTGAATTCTGAGACTATTTTTCCTTTACAAAAATTTAATCCGACGCTTACTTTTTGAATTATTAAAAGATAAAGTTAGCGAATTACGATCCGCGAACAGAAGGTAAACAGGGGCGGCGCATTCCCGTCCGACGCGAACGAATGAGGAGCATTCATTATTCTTTAATTTAAGTTAATTTGGTTTCACGGTGGTTTCTCTCTCTCTCTCTCTCTCTCTCTCTCTCTCGTTCCAGCTAGCTAATTTTGTCCGACTGTCTCTCTTTTTCGTACTCACTTCTTGACGATTGCGACGATGCTTGCTTGACGAACACAACGGCACGATTCGTACTCCAGTACACGCACATACATACCGATTGCACGACTATTTCAGATTAGAATTATATATATATGACACATAACCCGCGATTTTAGATGTCCCGATCGTTCGTCCTGACGCGCGTATTAACGGCGTGACGACGTCGTGGACGCAGGTGGTTAGCCGGTGTTCGGGCGGTTCTCGCTATTTTCGCGAATATGTAATTCCGCTTTTGAGTAATATTGCAGTCAAAAGTCGGTGCAACACTTTACAAAAATATAACGCGGAAACAAGCACCCGACAAAAAGACACGTGTCCATGCGATCGACACACACAGGTCGAGTGATGCAACAAGACTCAGAGCTAATGGCTGGCAAGAAATAAAAGAGAAATCGGAAGCGGAATTACATATTCAGATGGCGTTGTTGGCATAGATCGAGAGAGCTATGAAATCGGACAACATATGGATATACAAATTTGTCCATTTAGGGATATCCCTAGAGCATCCCTAAATGTATATCCTATGGACAGCTTATAAATGTCCAGGATATCCCGACCAGAAATGGACATGAAACGGATGTCCTTAGGACATCCTGTGCTGTCTGGGGTACGGACCTTTATATGGAGCTTTTAGCTTTTTATCTTCTCCAGGCTTAACAACTGTATCACGAATCTGTACGAATTCACCAATATTGTACACTGAAGGAGTTTTATGACGTTTGTCATAATATAACTTGTTGTAAAGTTTTAAATTATTTGTAGCATCTAGTGCTATTTGTCGGTCAGATTGACGAGTATCTTCTATAGGTACGTCGGACGCAATGATTTTATTTAATAGCTCAACCAGTTTACTATCGGCGTGATTACGCTGATCATAACCCAATAGCAGTTTAGATGGGGACGCTTTAATCGATGTATGAAATGTATTATTTATTACATATTGAATGGTTGGAACAACGTCTGGCCAATCAATAGGATTCTGAATTACTTTTTTAAGACTTGATTTAAGAAATCTATTTGTACGTTCAGCTATACCGTTGGCCCACGGTGCGGCCACCGCTATGCGTCTATGACGAATATTACGATTTTGGAGGAAGGCCTCGAATTCACGTGATGTGAAAGCGGTTCCTCTATCCGACACTATTTCATTTGGATTACCAAAGCAATTAAATAATGGAGTTAAGTGATTAATTACTTCACGCGAACCTGTTGAATGAACCGGGATTAGCCATGTAAATCGTGTAAAGAATCCAAAATAATAAGAATATGCTTTAAACCGCCTTTGGATTCAGTTAATGGACCAAAATGATCTGTGTGTAAAATTTGAAAGGGTATGGTCGCATTTGGAGTTACCTGCAAATCACCTTCACGAATATTAGGCGGAACATTTACAGTAAGGCAAATAAGGCAATTTTCTATATAAATTTTAATTTTACGTCGCATGGACGGAAACCAGTAATGATTTGATAAGCCCTGGTATGTCTTTTCTTCACCACAGTGAGCGGAGTTGTCATGATATACTCTTAAAAGGTTGGGGATCATAGTCTCAGGAACAACAAATTTTGGACGATCATTATTTTTACGATAAACTAGTCCATCGATCAATTCATATTTTTCATGATCAGACTCTTCGAGTTTTTGTGCAATTACACGGATCTGTGGATCGGCTAATTGCTTATATTGAAGCTCAGTTTCGAGAGGTATTTTAGCTATTGAAGCTACAATGCGACTTAACGCATCTACGTGCGACACTTTTTTGTCCACTTCTATGCTCAATTTTGCAAGTATATTCCTGCAAGAGCAGAATCCAACGAGCTATACGCGGATTGATATTAGCTTTATTTATCGCGTGCACTAGAGCATTACAATCCGTAATGACTTTAAATTCTATACCGTAAAAGCAAATATGAAATCTTTCGACTGACCTGACCACTGCTAACATTTCTAACTCAAACGAGTGGTAATGATTTTCAGCATTATTAGTGGCTTGACTGAAGTAGGCTATTGGAGCTAAACCACCAGTTTCTTGTTTTTGCATAAGAATAGCCGCAATTGCTAAATAACTAGCATCAGTATGCAATTCTGTGGCAACTCTGGCCTATAAAGGCGTAACACTGGATAAGCAGATAATTCTGTTTTTAAAATATTGAAAGCTCCTGTACAGTTATCATCAAAAATAAAATAAACGTTTTTTCTAAGCAAATTATGTAAGGGCTTAGCTTTGAGTGCGTAGTTTTGAATAAATTTACGGAAGAAATTAGTCAAACCCAAAAATCTTTGCAATTGCACAGTATTAGTTGGGATAGGAAAATTCTTAACAGCTAAAACATGTCGCTCGCTTAAAGTTATGCCGGACGGAGAAATCATATAACCAAGATACTCCAAAGATTTTTTAAGAAAAAGGCATTTATTAAAGTTTAATTCTAAAGAATATTTTTTCAGGAGCAACATAACTTGTTTTAAAACTGCGAGGTTATCTTCGACCGTAATAGACGGTATTAGAATATCGTCGATATATACTAAGACTTTGTCTTCTCTTATTAAAGGTTGCAAAATATAATTTACTCTTTTTTGGAATTCTGCCGGTGCTTCACAGAATCCAAATGGTTATCTTAAATATTCAAATTGGCCATCCGGTGTGGCCAAAGAAAAATATTTAGTAAAATCCGGATGAATTTTAATTAAGTGGAAACCATCTTTAAGGTCAAGAAGGGTAAATACCTTTTTATCTCCGAGTCGCGTAAGACAATCCTCCATAAGGGGAAATGGGTATTTTTGTTTCTGAACTCGGTCATTTAATGGTCGTAGATCAACACAGAGTCTTGGCGCTCCATTCTTTTTTCTGACTAAAACTACCCGTGCACAATAGGAAGAAGTGCTGGGTTTTATGATTTCTCGTTTTAATAAATCGTCAGTTATTTCACGTATTTGCAAGCGTTCCGCGTGTGCAAAGCGTCTTGGCGCATATGCATATGAAGAATCATTTTTGAGCTATTTTAGCTTTATAATCATCGTCTACGGTTTCAATAGTAGTATTTTTTACTTCTAATATAACGTTATTTAACTTTTGATCAATGTCGAATTCAAAATCGGTTTTATATTCAAAGTTAGACAAATTATTATTTGATTCGGCTACATCTACGGACGCTATTTCATTAAAAAGTTCTACTTTATTTGAATTGTTGTCATAATCTTTGTTATATTTTACCATCAAATTGTTTGATATTAAGAAATCAGTTCCCAAAATTATCTGTGTAGACCAATGAGGTTCTTCTACTAAATTAAATTTTACAGGTAACTCTAAATTAGGTAAGGAAGATAAGTTTATATTTGCATCGCATGTACCAAGAACTTTGATTTCGGTATTACCTAACGATCTAAAATTATCATTATTAGAATTCTCAATAAACTTGAATTGACTCGAAAGAGATTTATAAACTGATAAAAACACGAAAGAGGCTGGACTACCAGTGTCCACCAAGGCGCGAATATTACATTTAATGCCGTTAATACTATTAACTCTTATAAGAGAGCTATCTAATTTTAAAGTTTGAGAAAAATCATGTGACGATGCTGTTGATTTCATGGAGATACATCCCACCTGGTTGGTTGAATCCTTTGCATCTATAACCTTGTGTGATAGGGCGGCTGCCTTGTCCTCCTGGGAACTGGAAACTTGTTTTGCCCGCTCTTTGCGTTGCAATTTGTAACAGTTTGCAATAAACACACGTAACATCCTTGTTGAACTTGTTCTGCTGAGAAGATTTCGTAGGGGATTGCGGTGAACTTTTAAGCTTTTCCTTTTCAATTGGCGGAGGAGAGCTTTTCGTAAGGACGAATCCACATGATGAGGCAATTTTTGACATCTTTTCTAAGAAGTCATCCACGGATGTAGCATCCAAGACGGCTGCTGAACTTTTTAAAGCTAGGCTATTCATGCCATTGATGATAAGTTGAATCTTATCTTGATCGGATAATTGTATACTATGCATCAGTTTAAGTTTTTGCTGAGCATAATTTTGAAACGATTCCTTTGGAAAATTCCATCGACAGGCCTCGATTTTTTGCACTGTTACATGGAAGGGTATGTAACGTTTAAACCTTCGTATGATAGCCTCTTTAAACAAAAACCATGAATTATTGATTAGATTCGTATCACAGTCAAACCATTCGCGAGCTGTTTTGTTAAGCTTGCTTGTGGCTGCTAGGAATGTAATTCCATCAGAAACTTTATGAATGGAGGCTGCACGATCAACTTTGCTGACCCAAATTTCAATATCCTCATCAGACGTTCCGCTAAATGCAGGAATTTGCGATGCTAAGGTTTTGACTACTTGAGGATTGGAAATACCTTCTGTTGATACAGCGTTTAATGAAGATGGCATTCAAATTTAACATCTGACCTGTAGGTAAAGCGTTGCGGTAACAATTGCATAAACTGATTTATCAGGATTTGATTCTGTCGCATCTGCTCAGAAAGTAACTGCAACATTTGGTGATTATCAGTATTTGATGACGCTGAAGTAGTAGCTAAATTGATCAGGTTATCTCCCGTTAAGTGTTGTCTTCGGTTATTAGTGTGGGAAGTGTTCTTTGTTTCATCGACAGAGGGTCTTCCTTTGCCTTCGATAAATGCCATTAATGCATCGATAGCCTGCTCGCGAGTTTTGCTAGCAGGTAGATTGCACATTGCGAGCTCTGCTTGTAGCTCCTCAAAAGTACAGTTATCAAGCTCTTTACGATCCATAACTAGAACCCGCTTATTCACGGCTGATTACAACACAAATAACTTATTGTCCGAAAGCTATTATCAAAGCGATATGACCGCACAGCTGACACCGTGTCGATAATTTATGGATGTCGTCAATAGACGATCTCAGGTGTTTATTTACTGAGATTTCTCTATTGTCCTTGATGGTTAAGTTGATCACGCAGGTACGCGGTCACACGAGGAAAAAAAAGAAGTCAATATGGCTGCCAAAACGGTTAAGAGCCGCTGTTGGCCAAAGAAGGCAATAACACGCCAATCACTTCCTGAACGGCACATAGGGTGCGGTCGAGTTGCCACTACGAATGCTTTGAAGCGTTTCATGTACGGTCATTTAAGGGTTTCGAAACACTTCAATAGCATCAATTACGTCATCGAAACGTCACAGGGTGCGGTCGAGTTGTCACTACGAATGCTTTGAAGCGTTTCATGTACGGTCATTTAAGGGTTTCGAAACACTTCAATAGCATCAATTACGTCATCGAAACGTCACAGATTTCCCTCTCTATTTCGCTTCCAATGCTACAGCCGAAGAGGTAGTACGGCTGAAGCGTTTTTTGAATCTTCGCAAAACGCGGGAAATGCATATGGTTACTTGGTTAAGTAAGGGTGCGTTCCGTTGCACGCATTGAGTGCATAGATCACATCTAATGTGCTGCGCACATTAATATCGTTCCGTTTCGTCAATGTACATGATGCGCGCTTGGAAACGGAACGGCTTCCTATGCGTTTGATGCAAATAAAAAAATGGCTACCATGGATGATAACCTATTAGCCTTATTTTTATTAATAAATAAAAATCACGAAGCTAGTAGCACTAGTGAATCCAGTGAAAGTGAAGATGAAGATGAAGATATACCAATTTTAAATTTAGAATTAAAAACATTATACACAATATTAATTATTGGTGAATCACGGGGAGAGATGGTGTTTGCGAATAAACTGGATTATGTGGAACGAGTTATTCCTAGTTATTCAAGAATAATATTTAAAGAACATTTTCGGTGAATAATGTATATAATTATATCTTTGTATAAAAAAAATAAGAACATGAAATGAAATTTTTCTCAATGTAATATCATAATCTAAGGAAAGAGTTTATATTTACAATTATACATACATCATTATATAATTGTTTTTATTACCTATTTTAAATTAATTTTTATTAATTGGATTTCTCTATTTTAGAATGTTTCCTGAAACATTTCAAATGGTGCTGGGAATAATTGGTCCAGGATTACGTGCTATTAATGATACAACTGGTACAAGAATAATGTCTGAGGAAAAACAATTACTTATTGCCATCTGGTTTATGGCTACACCTGATTCTTACAGGTATGTTTGATATATGTATATTCTGTTCTTTATATTAAAAACATAGCAAAATATGTATATATATATATATATGACGTAAAATATCATTTAAATTTATTTTCGCATTATTTTATTACAGCATTATTTTATTCACATGGCACATTGTTGTTACAGATCTGTAGCTACGAAATTTGGAGTAGGCAAAGCAACTGCATTTCGAGCACTGAGACGTGTTACATATGCTCTCCATTGTATTGCACCTCGATTTATTACATGGCCAAGAGGTCAGATTGCCGTAAATGTAATGGAACGATTTGAAAGATCTTGCGGCTTTCCCAATGTAATTGGAGCTATTGATGGGACACATATAAAAATTCGAGCTCCTTCTGAAGATGCAAACTCATACGTAAATCGAAAAGGTTTTCATTCTATTAACGTGCAAGTAGTATGTGATTCTCGTAGTCTTTTTACACATGTATATCCACAGGTTGGATCTGTCCACGACTCTCGAGTCTTTCGAAGCTCGGCAGTAGCCCGTTTTGTTGAATTGGAATTTGAAGAATATTTTCCAAATGATTCACATATTATCGGAGATGCTGCATATAGCATTCATCCTCATGTAATGGTGCCTTTTCGAAATAATGGGCATTTAACAAATCGGCAAAAAAATTTAAATTATTGTTTGTCATCTACGAGAATGGCAATTGAACGTGCTATAGGATCGCTGAAAATGCGCTTTAGAATACTTCTGGACTGTTTAACAGACATTAAAAAAGTTCCAGAATTCATTTTAGCATGCTGTGTGTTATATAATATTTGCCTACTCCAAAATGATGAGATGCCTATGGGTATACAGTTCGCATACAACGAAGATGTTGATTTTAACGGTCATGGCAATGCAGTAGAATTAGGAAAAGAAAAGCGAAACAGAATTATGAATGCGCTACAAATGAAAATATAATTAAGATAATAATAAGTGAAACTAAAGTTAGATAAGAATGTGAAAATAAATGATTTTTAAAAACCGTGTTAAAATAGATATTTTTTATTTCATACTAACATACAAATATATATTATATATTAATATTGCATAAGAGATCATATTTCAATACCTTTGAATACTGATATATCACATTTAAGTATCAATGCACGTACAATTACAGTAACGATAAATGTTTTTATTTCTTATTTGCTAAAGTTTGCATGACATCAAGTAACGATTTTTGTATTTGTATGTTATCGTTATGCATTTGTTCGCGCTCTTTCTTTCTTTCTTGGTATCTTGCTTGTCTTTCTTCTTCTCTTTTCTTCTTTTCTTCGTCTCGCTGTTTTTTATCATTTTCCTTTTTACACTTCAAATCATTAATAAAATTTTCTAGAATATTTTCAACTCGTCTTTTCTTAGGTCCATCTACAATACGTTGCATTAATTAATATAAATGTTAAGATACTTATTGTTACGTCCGGGTTTTCGTGCGTTTGTTATTCGCGAAGTTCCGAACGCGGCGTGCGGGATCGGGATTGCTTGATTAGCTAGGAAACGGTCTCTGAGAATGAGTGGAGGGATTTGTGGGAAAAAGGAAGGGAACGATCAGAGCGCGAGAGCGATAGTGGGCCGAGCGGAAGCACCGATCGTCTCTCGCCTCGGGGTGTGTTGTCGGATGCGAAAATAACATTATTGTCTAGCGAGAATGGCGGAGAGTTAGAACTAAAGTCGGACGGAATCGCGACTCCCGAATCAGTGGACGTTTGTATCGCGGCGACCAGTGAGCAGCAAAAAAAAAAAGAGGGACACGGAATCGAGCCACTGAATGTGGCAGCGCTCAAACTCCGTTTGCTTTCAAATCGTTGAGGGGAGGAGAAATGCTACTCACTGGGGGAGCAATCTTACCGTGCTCCTGATGTAATTTAAAAGAGAAAGACAAAAACGATTATTCGTAAGGAGGAGGCGCGATAATAATGCGAAGATCCGCACGACGTCGTCGCCGGGCGGAATCTCGCCGAGCGATCCGCGATGGGCGCGAACTATAATCCATGATTCGCGGTTTCTTCGATCGCGGCGACTAGTGAGCAGCATAAAAAAAAAGGGACACGGAATCGAGCCACTGAATGTGGCAGCGCTCAAACTCCGTTTGCTTTCAAATCGTTGAGGGGAGGAGAAATGCTACTCACTGGGGGACCAATCTTACCGTGCTCCTGATGTAATTTAAAAGAAAAAGACAAAAACGATTATTCGTAAGGAGGAGGCGCGATAATAATGCGAAGATCCGCACGACGTCGTCGCCGGGCGGAATCTCGCCGAGCGATCCGCGATAGGCGCGAACTATAATCTATGATTCGCGGTTTCTTCGATCGCGGCGACCAGTGAGCAGCATAAAAAAAAAAGAGGGACACGGAATCGAGCCACTGAATGTGGCAGCGCTCAAACTCCGTTTGTTTCCAAATCGTTGAGGGGAGGAGAAATGCTACTCACTGGGGGAGAGGTACCGCGGCGAACGTCTCCTCTCGTTTTCCGAAACGAGCACACGAATATCACGCGGAATTACCGCGGCGTCATTTGTTGCGCGAAATTCCGGCAAAAGGAATGCGCGAACACAGCGAACGAATTCCTGATCGCGACGGCCAGTGAGTAGCAACAACAAAAAAAAAAGGGGGCGAGGAAAAGGCTGCCACGTAGGGAGGCGCACAATTCCCTTGATTCCAAATCGTTGAGGGGAATACTACTCACTGGGGGACGGACTCGCACTCACTCGATCACGCACCCACATTCGCACATACACACACAAAAGAAAATAAAATAAAATAAAATGAAAGGAGCAGTTAATAAAGACGATGGTTCACCATTGTTCACTTGACTATGTGTATAAATTTATTAATGTAACTCGCGAATAATCCAAAAAAATAAAGAATAACTAGAGAAAGAGACCGACAATTTACGAATTAATTATCAGGATAAGAGAAACTAACTTAATAATAAGAAATCAAATAATTGTTCACTTCGAGTTGAATATTTAATTGAATTGTACTACGCACGATACGAGCGCAAAAATTGTTGAAGGGAATAAAAATTTGTCGAACACGACGGAACGCGCACTATTTGAGTAATTAGCTAATTATTACACTTACGCTCGTGTGGTTACAACTCTCGGCTCTTAGTAGCGTACCTTCGGAGTATCTCGCGATTGAGTTACGCTGCGCAAATATCACTTTATTCGTATACGACTTTAAAGATTGCTAGATTCGCTCGTGATAACTTCTCGTATTACTGTCGAAAAATGGAACAATAATGAACGGGAGCGCTCTGTTTCGCTCGATTATATAGGGCCAGCTTGGTGGCCCGCGGCGTGCGGAAACGCCGAATTTCTAGGAAAAAAGGGCAATAAATCACTTTAGCGAATAATTAATATCTCGGCACTCGATGAGTGCATTGCTCTGATACTTGGTATTATTTCAGTTCGAATTTATGCAAAACGTTGTGTCGAGTCGGATTTCCGTTGGGGAGCGCGGAGGCGCCGTGATAATGCCGCATACCGAACTTTAGTTTTTCCAGATAGGTTTTCGCCAGGGAATGGAAGTAACTCGTTACTTGTAACGAAGTTACAGTTACAAGTTACTTTTTTGGTAACTTTACTGGTAACTGCGTTACTTTCTTTTTTTGGTAACTGTAACGGTAACGAGTTACATTTTTTGGGTAACGGTAACGAAATTTACAGTTACTTTTGTCGTTACTTTGCACACGATTGAACACGGTTCGATTGGATACATGCAATTTACAGCGCTTATCAATAAGACTTAAGTCCTTAGACATTCGGCCGTTATGATTCAGTAATTATTTTACACTTCTATCTTCTATGTAATACATAGGACATACAAATATTTCAGTTTGCTGCATATTTTACAGGTTTTAGAATTACAAAATTGTGTTTAAAAAAAATTAAAATAAAATTAAATAATAGTAAAATGAGAAGGGCTACGAACCCAAAGCGAAACAGTTTAAAAGACGATGACAATAAGTGTCGAAACTTCGTTTGTTTTTATCTTATTTTATCCATGTTATTGTTCTAATATATATTTATACATTTAATTACATTGTCATCGTCGTTCTTATCGGAAATAAACTATTTCATTTTTGGCTCGTAACATTGGTCCTCGTAATTTTGGCCCTTCTCATTTTACTTTTATTTAATTTATTATTTGAGCCATTCTACATTGTTTTTTTTTTTTTTTAATAAAACTATATATATTTGTCAGTATTACATATAAAAAAAATGCAAAAGTACATATTTAAATTGATTTTATAAAAGTAACGGAAAAGTAACGAAAAGTTATTTTTCAAGTAACGGTAACTGTAACGAGTTACTTTTAAAAAGCGATAACTGTAACTGTAACTAGTTACATTTTTTACTCGGTAATGAGTAACTGTAACTAGTTACTGCATGACATCAAGTAACGATTTTTGTATTTGTATGTTATCGTTATGCATTTGTTCGCGCTTTTTCTTTCTTTCTTGGTATCTTGCTTGTCTTTCTTCTTCTCTTTTCTTCTTTTTTTCGTCTCGCTGTTTTTTATCATTTTCCTTTTCACACTTCAAATCATTAATAAAATTTTCTAGAATATTTTCAACTCGTCTTTTCTTAGGTCCATCTACAATACGTTGCATTAATTAATATAAATGTTAAGATACTTATTATGCATAATATGTGAAAACAACTTTTGCTTCAATCGTGGTTTATTAATTATGTTACTTGGTGATTTTTTTGAAAGAAGCAATGGAGATGAAGATGCTGAAGATGTATCTACTAGTTTTGGTGGTGCTGGACCTTCACTTGATGCTTCAGCTAAAGGTTTTATATAAGCCTTCTCACCAATTAACGAGTCCATCACCTACAAAGACAAAATCAGTTTATATATTCAATCTATATATGTATAATATTATATTTATACATACACACACACACACACACACACACACACACATACACATATACTTACTGAATAAAAACCCCAACTACTATTAGAGTTACCGCTCTTTTTGTTCTGATCATATATATTTTTATACGTTCGTTTCAAGCTAGAAAATTTTGTAGAGCATTGAAGCCCCGTAACTGTATACCTCTTGTCGACTTCTCGCATTTGAGTAGCAATTTCTCCCCAAATGACATTATGTTTCTTCATCCCAGAAGTAAAATCATGTTCTTTTTCCCTGTATAGATCGATGAGTAAAAATACTGCAGCATCAGGCCACAAAAAACCTTTTGAATTTAATTCATCTGAAATGTCATTGAAAATTCGTAGTAAATTACATTTAATTGCAAAAATTATTCTAATTGTTTAACAAGACATCGATGAAAAAATTGTACTTGGTTCGGATTCCTTGGTGTTAATTTCAATCTTTGAAGATGGCAATGCATCTTTCAGTCCATCAGCATTTTGCTTATATTGATTTACAATGCTTTGCAGAAATAGTTGATCTGAAAATATACTTTAGTTACTTTTGAGGTAATAATTACAATATGAAGTTGTATATATTTTAATAGTTACCTTGAGTAGCCTTCACAGCAGTGTCTTTATCGACGAAGAGAGTAATAA